AGCACATATTTAAGTTTTCTACAACGTGTTATTAAACGTGTTTTTAAATCTACATTGATTGTTATATTGCATAATAAGTGCTGTCATCGAAATATAAAAGCTAAAATTCACGTAGTCGTAAAATGAAGTAGTGAGTGAATGTGTGTGTGCGTGCATGGAGTGTACAATAGTGTATTTGCGTGTGTGTTGACGTGTGTGCCTGTGTGTGGTTTGATGGTCACCTACTGTATGTAGGCCTATCCTATCTATTGATCATTAGCTGGAAGTAGTGCATCCAGAAGAGCTACGGTTCTATCCCTGTTACTTTAGGGCTCTGCTCTCCCCTGCCGTCTTTGTTCTAGCACCGCGTTCGAACTTTGCAAGAGCAGAAGAGATGGATCGCATGAACTGGGTCTGTGCCCAACCGCTGGTGTATGCGACAAAACAAATTACAGTGGCCTACCGAATCTCACCCAGTCTCTCCCAATGATTTTGAATGACTATTACGATAAATAATCATTAGCCCATTTCCTCAGACAACACACACACACACACACACACACACACACACACACACACACAAAGTGAGTGGGCAGAGTAAATACACATAATATATAATACTTCAAATGGAATTCAGCACCTGGACAGCAACTATCCCTAGGTCTGGTAGGCCTAACCTCCACTACAGGCCTTACCAACAGCTCCTTCACAAGCATCTCCTTAACCTCTACAAATGTAGTTTACCACCCAAATGTCTCTGACACACAAACATGTCATATCACTGTATTCCTGTGAGCTCTCCAGAGATGGATGGATCTCTCTCTCTCTCTCTCTCTCTCTCTCTCTCTCTCTCTCTCTCTCTCTCTCTCTCTCTCTCCTCTCTCTCAGTGGCTGGGGCCTCAGCTCTGGTTAGTGTCACAAACTCAGATGGCTGGGCCGGCCAGTGGATACTAATGTGGGGCGGCACGGTGGCAACACACACTGCCCAGACTACTACCACCACACTGCCCAGACTACTACCACCACACTGCCCAGACTACTACCACCACACTGCCCAGACTACTACCACCACACTGCCCAGACTACTACCACCACACTGCCCAGACTACTACCACCACACTGCCCAGACTACTACCACCACACTGCCCTGACTACTACCACCACACTGCCCAGACTACATTTACATTTACATTTTAGTCATTTAGCAGACGCTCTTAACCAGAGCGACTTACAGGAGCAATTAGGGTTAAGTGCCTTGCTCAAGGGCACATTAACGTCATTTAGCAGACGCTCTTAGCCAGAGCGACTCACAAATTGGTGCGTTCACCCTATAGCCAGTGGGATAACCACTTTACAATTTGGGGGGGGGGGGGGGGGTTAGAAGGAATACTTTAGCCTATCCCAGGTATTCCTTAAAGAGGTGGGGTTTCAAATGTCTCCGGAAGGTGGTGAGTGACTCCGCTGTCCTGGCGTCGTGAGGGAGCTTGTTCCACCATTGGGGTGCCAGAGCAGCGAACAGTTTTGACTGGGCTGAGGGGGAGCTGTGCTTCCGCAGAGGAAGGGGAGCCAGCAGGCCAGAGGTGGATGAACGCAATGTCCTCGTTTGGGTGTAGGGACTGATCAGAGCCTGAAGGTACAGGGGTGCCGTTCCCCTCACTGCTCCAAAGGCAAGCACCATGGTCTTGTAGCGGATGCGAGCTTCAATTGGAAGCCAGTGGAGTGTGCGGAGGAGGGGGGTGACGTGAGAGAACTTGGGAAGGTTGAACACCAGACGGGCTGCGGCATTCTGGATGAGTTGTAGGGGTTTAATGGCACAGGCAGGGAGCCCAGCCAACAGCGAGTTGCAGTAGTCCAGACGGGAGATGACAAGTGCCTGGACCAGGACCTGCGCCGCTTCCTGTGTAAGGCAGGGTCGCACTCTCCGAATGTTGTAGAGCATGAACCTGCAGGAGCGGGTCACCGCCTTGATGTTGGCGGAGAACGACAGGGTGTTGTCCAGGGTCACGCCTAGGCTCTTCGCACTCTGGGAGGAGGACACAGCGGAGTTGTCTACCGTGATGGCGAGATCATGGAACGGGCAGTCCTTCCCGGGGAGGAAGAGCAGCTCCGTCTTGCCAGGGTTCAGCTTGAGGTGGTGATCCGTCATCCATACTGATATGTCTGCCAGACATGCAGAGATGCGATTCGCCACCTGGTGATCAGAAGGGGGAAAGGAGAAGATTAGTTGTGTATCGTCAGCGTAGCAATGATAGGAAAGGCCATGTGAGGATATGACAGAGCCAAGTGACTTGGTGTATAGGGAGAAAAGGAGAGGGCCCAAAACCGATCCCTGGGGGACACCAGACTACTACCACCAGATATGGCTGCCACTCTGGCTGCCACTCCCCGGTCTTTTTCTGCCCTCTTAGACGCTTCACTGCCAACACTAAAACTATATTGTACAGAATCAGAACATCCACTGAAATATTTATATATCAAGCAATGAATAAGTTAAATGTAAACAAATGAAGCTAGTTTTTCTAACCCTATTTCTCATCGCTCAGTTCATCTCTCTCCACCAGCCTAGTAAAATCAGTGCATATGGCACATACAGTCAAACAGTACAAAAAAGTGGACTTTCAGTCAGTCATGTCAGAATAATATCAACTTCCCAAACAGCCAAAGGTTATGCACCCCTCCCCTCCTCTCAGCTCAGCTCGCTCCATGAATCTCAAAACTCATATCATCTCCAAACACATATCACTCAAGTCAGCTCACATGCACACTCTCACTCTTCTCTAAATCTATGATGACAATCTTTCCTCACCCACTTTGCACCATGAAATATACTTTTTTTTGACAATGCACAGCAAAAGTGTGAACTGGATCATGGTGAGAGGGGGTAAGTGTCATGGGGTGAGTAGGGTGTATGAAGCAGGGCTGAATCTCTTCTTCCATTACCCCTGTCTTCCGATATGAGATTACTACGTGAAAAGTGTGGAGGCCAGCAGGAAATGTGTGTACATTTCCATACATGGGCCTCATTTTCCCTGTCAGCTGTTTCCCTGACATTGAAATAGAGGATGAGGGAGGGCAGAGGGGTGAGGTAGGGTGGGTGCCATGCCAGCCTGGCTGTCTCCCCACCACCCTGCTTGCTAGGCTGTGACCTGCTGTAGACAATTACATTTCAGTCCATCTCCCTCAATCAAATTATGTTAGAGGAAGTAGACCTTGGATTGACCGCACAGCAACAAAAGCCCTGTACGCACAAGTTAAATTCATAAACTAATACGTGATAAACATATATTTTTTTAAAGGTCACACCAAAAGGTTACCCATAAATACATAGATAAACATGACTACGTAATCATTAAGACATAAAACAAATTACAGGGTCAAGATTCCCTTCGTTTCTCTTTAAATGTTTATCATTAGGAAGTAGAAAGTGGGAGAAAAGGGGAATGAAGAGAGCAAAATAGTAAATGGGAGAAATGAACACAACATGATCTTTGTATAAGCAGTAGAGCTTATTATGCCAGCACTAATTTCCCCTCAGGAGCTCATTAAAGTCTTGAGAGTGAGCAGCAGTAAGAGAAGAGTGGTGGAAGCCCCCAATGACCAGACTGAATTGCTCTCTCTACAGTGGATCTTGGGCCAGGCAGGCAGCACAACGTTACTGGGAACAACACACACTGCCACACACACAGAAAGAACATCAGCGTGGATCTTTGGCTCTTTCACACATGAGCACACACATACAGTACATACTGTATACATGCGTGCACGCACACACGCACAAGCACACGCACACACACACATTACATCTTGATCATCACTTACTCCAGCCAACTTTTTGGAATTCATTGGAAGATGGGGAGATGGATAGAGACGGTCTTAGATGTTATGCCAATTAGGTTTCAGCAAATGAATCGCAATGAGAGTTTCGGATTAAGTTTAAGAAAAATAAAAGTACAATTTATATTTTATTGGATAAAAGCAAATAAAAAACAATAGATCAATTGATTGATTGGTAAATAAAAGGGAGGATTTGTCTCTTCTAAATATTCACATGTATTTTACAGTTAATAATCATAATAAAATTCCTTTATAGTTTTTCTGGTATAGTTTCAGTTTAGCCACATTTCAACCGAAACAAGAACAAGAAGCATCAGTAGTTAAGGGAGCCTCATAATCCACACACAATCACTACGTTTTAACATTAAAATACGGAAATACAGATATTCAACCAGATTCTGTTAATCACATATTATATCATATAGAAACTTTCAGATTTTATATATATCCAGTATACAGCAGGAGTCTTTAGAGTTTCAGCAATCCTCCAATCATCCAATCATGACAAAGCAGGGACATCCTTACTGGGAGGAGAAGGCTAGAAAGAAGAGCAGCAGAGGGGAGGATAAAAGAACAGGAGAGGAGTAAAGGACAGAAGGAGCATTGAACAGGGGATCAATAAACATGAAGAAATGGGGTGGGGAGTGAGGAGAACTTAATGGTACAGTACTGTATCTGTCTGGACTTGAAATGACAGAGGTGGGTGGGATGTAGAAAATGTATTGCCAGACTGTACACAGACATAAAAATACAATGAAAATGGAGTCACAGAAAATGGATGGGGATGGCCATACAGAATGTGGAAACATGGTTGATGCAGCTCTTTGACACTGTAGGTAATACAGAGACATTCCTCAAAGCAGATGCAGAAACAGATGATGAGGGGGAAGGGGTGGACTTGGCCTCTAGGGTTAACTCTCTTTAACGTTTTTAAATGATAGTATTTCTAAGGATAAAAAAGTTGTGGCTGTCCAGAGCTGTAGCCAGGCAGCGGAGTGAGTGAGTGTGTTGGAGAGCCTGCCCAACTAATTATACCCTACTCATCTCTCTAACTTCCTCTCCCATATCTCTTTCTCTCCTCCTCTCCCTCTTTTTATCTTTCATCATCTCTCTCTGTCTGTCTCCACAGTCTTCCAAGCAGCCAAGCCGAGAAGCATTAGTCCCTCCTGTCTCCTTGTCTTCTACATGGGGAAGACCAGGAACCCAGAGAACGTGGAGTACTTCCAGCCCCCCATGAGGTTTCCTCTCTCTAGTTTGAGATAGGCTCGGTCCCCCTTCTCCATTTGGATCAGCACTCCGTTACTGGCAGCCTCACGTGTCACATCCTGGTCCCCAGCGAAGGCCGAGATCACAGGCCATCCATTATGCATCAGGCTTACCTACAGGAGAGGACATACTACAGTTAGAGATGGTTAAATACACCCACATCTCTACACACAAACACACACACACACACACACACACACACACACACACAAAGACACACCGCACCTGTCAATCTCTGCCCATAGGTCACTCCCCACTGAGCCCTGACTTCTGTGTGAGACCACACACACCACACACACACACACACACACACACACACACACACACACACACACCCTACAGGCAATACTAGAACACAGAGGACACAGACATGAACATTACATAATTTCACTAATTCAGACTCATACACGGTTCACCTGCCTTGTGCCGAGTTTAAGAGTGAAGAGTAAAAACGCTCCTTGACTGATACATGCCCTAAATATACAAACAGACAGCATCTAAATCATGCATAAGAGTGCATAAAAGAGATCAAAACACTCATCTTAGGCCTGAAAGATTAAGAGGTGCTTGGTTTGAGAGAGAGAGAGATGTCATCTAAGAGAGGCAGGACAAAGCAGCCTCTGTTCAGTGTGCTAAATGAGTTCACGGTGAACAGGGAGGTGGACTGGAGGAAAGCCAAGCCTCTACATCACTTCCACCCAGCCAGGGCCCAGGGGAGACTCACTCAGCTCCCACCCAGCCCCACCCTCACCCCAGCACCATCCCCAGCCCCATACCCACTCACACTGAGGAGGGGAGAGGGAACCTCATTCAGCTGGATGGTTCAAACTGGCAGAAATCCCTCTTCTGTGGCAGTTATGTATGGGACTAATAAACCGAACATTTGCAGGATGGTCCTGTTCACAGCAGAGTCATGAGGGGGAGGCTAGGAAGAAGGGTGAGAGGGTGAGGAATAGAGACCACATGTACAAACCCCTGACTGAGCCCTGTATTCATTAAGGGGGGGGGGGGGGGGGGGGGGGGTAATCACCACCCCTTCCCAAAAACACCATCACTCAATCACTCCAATCACGCCAACCACTGCAAATTACAGCACATGTGTAAATGGCATAATGGCTGGTGCATGGTGTCAGCATTCCATAGAGCTGCTGAATTCTTTAACGCGTAAGCACCCAATTAAGCCCAGAGAGAGAAGCTTTAGATATACATTTGGTGAGTGGGTTTCCGCCCACAGTTTAATGCAGCACTTAGCTGTAATGAAAAAGAAGACATCCTCCTCTCATGACACATCATTTCCTGTCCAAAGAGACAGACGACAGCAGTGACGTGACAACAGACCACTTTCTCTCCACTCAGTGAAGGGAGACACAATGACTGGCCAGTGGGCAGCAAGGACATATTTAGAAATGTCATGTTTTTGGAAGAAGTATGCTTTTAAAGTATTATTTTTTACTTGATCAAAGTTGCCTAAGGGAGACTCAAGGAGAAGATTGCTAAAAAATGCACGTTTTTACAGCGGATATGGTGGCTCATAATAAACACTAATGTGCTCACATGATTCAACAGCTTGTGCAATCAACACTCTTGCTTCTCTTTTAAAGGGAAATATCAAATTCATATTCATCATCTCCAGCACCACCCCAACATCAACATATGTGAAATTTTTCAATGTTTTGTAGTAAAAAAGATTGAGGAAAATAAGTGTTTCCAGTGACATCATTGGTGTGCATCGTGTGAGTTTGACCAATTGTGAATAGGCGTTGCCTACTAATTGCCTACTAATTGTCTACTAATTGGTTGATAACGTCATGGGAAACACTTATCTTCCTCTTTTTTTTTTACTACAACACATAGAAACGTGCCAGTTTCACATATGTTGATGTTGGGGTGGTGCTGGAGATGAAGAATATGAAGTTGACGAATTGTGAAATGTCCATTTAATGCATGTGGAGGATGGTCTGAAGAGCCCCCATCCAGTATAGTGTGAGGTTCTGTAGCCTTCATCTCTCACTGTCAGTTTGAATGGCTGTTTGCCTGCTCTATCTTACTTGAATGAAATTAAGCTAGCCCGCTAAAGTAGGCTAGCACGAGGCTAGTACCTTTCAGACTGGGCTAGTAGAAAATGTACCCAACTAGCACAGATTTTGGAACAAGGCTAGTAAAAACTGTGGTCTACTTGCCCCTCTGGCCAGTGCCCAAAATCCTTATGGTCCATCACTAGTATAGGGACTCATACTAAACTACAGTTATTGATTAGTTGGTTAATAGATTTTTTCAGGGTTCAGTACGTTGTACTTGGGGCTCATATGTAACACTCTATGACCATGGAGTATACTTATAACAATGGCAGCCTCTGAAAAGAGAAGTGTGCTCCTGTTTGTCCTTGAGGTTTCATGTTGGAACAATCTGTACTTGTGCCAACTAAAATTCACTGCCTCTCTATGAAGTATGAATAGTTACTTACATTCAACAGCAATGGAATTAGGAGGAGATAAGCATGTATCTACAGTACAAGTCAAAAGTTTGGACACACCTACTCATTCCAGGGTTTTTCTTTATTTTTACTATTTTCTACATTGTTGAATAATAGTGAAGACATCAAAACTTTAAAATAACACAAGAGACCTGCTTGGGCCAAGAAACACGAGCAATGGACATTAGACTGGTGGAAATCTGTCCTTTGGTCTGATGAGTCCAAATTTGAGATTTTTGGTTCCAACCGCCATGTCTTTGTGAAATGCAGAGTAGGTGAACGGATGATCTCCACATGTGTGGTTCCCACCGTGAAGCATGGAGGAGGAGGTGTGATGGTGTGGGGGTGCTTTGCTGGTGACACTGTCAGGGATTTATTTAGAATTCAAGGCACACTGAACCAGCATGGTTACAACAGCATTCTGCAGTGATATGCCATCCCATTTGGTTTGAGCTTAGTGGGACTATCATTTGTTTTTCAACAGGACAATGACCCAACACACCTCCAGGCTGTGTAAGGGCTATTTGACCAAGACGGAGAGTGATGGAGTGCTGGCCTCCACAATCACCCGACCTCAACCCAATTGAAATGGTTTGAGATGAGTTGGACCGCAGAGTGAAGGAAAAGCAGCCAACAAGTGCTCAGCGTATGTGGGAACTCCTTCAAGACTGTTGGAAAAGCATTTCTCATTAAGCTGGTTGAGAGAATGCCAAGAGTGTGCAAAGCTGTCATCAAGGCAAAGGGTGGCTACTTTGAAGAATCTCAATTATATTTTGATTTGTTTAACACTTTTTTGGGTTATTACATGATTCCATATGTGTTATTTCATAGTTTTGATGTCTTCACTATTATTCTACAATAAAAATAAAGAAAAACCCTTGAATAAGTAGGTGTGTCCAAACTTTTGTCTGGTACTGTATGTTCAGTGGATTCAATTCTCAATACCCTGGTCTCAATGAGATCTACACAGATATGAGGAGGTGAGCTATTTATGGATGTTTCAAGATGGTAATGCCTGTATTCCTCCTTCAATAGCAAAATACTGGAGTGGTAAGACACTCCTGTTCCACATCCTTCTAGAAAGAACCTTGAAAGTTATTATCTCTATCCCTACCAATCCATATAAATCTATGTTAGTCTCTCATCTCATCTCTCTTCCTTTTCTCCCTCTCCCTCTCTCTCTCATTCTGTCACTCTCTACCTCCCTCTCTCCCTCCCCTCTTCCCTCCCTCTGTGTCCACATGACAAACAGCTCTAAGGCAATCAAACAGTGTGAGTTTTTAACACAGCAGTTGTGGCTATGTTGGACTAGTGTATCAGAGCTGAACTGAGCTGTGAATCCTCCATATATCTGTGAATCCTCTCCTCTTTGTTATTTGATTCACATATATATGGAGGATGCTACATTTGTAATCTCAAAGTCATTAACTCTTTTGTGACAAAAAAATTAACAGTGAAATATGTTTTAATGCATTATAGTTAGTTGCTTGAGTCAGGTGTCTGTAATTTGTACCTCTGTTTAAGGTTAGTTGGACTCAATGACATGATGGGTGAATATGGTTTTACAGGGCTTTTCCTTTTAATTTGGCTTGCCTGGTTTGTTTTCAATTAATTAATTTAGCTTCCAATAAGAGATGAATAACAGCATGTAATACTGAAGCCCTGTGGATTTCACTGCATAATTAGAACAGGGTTTAATTAGTGAAATATGCACTCTAATTAAGAGGGGCTGGTTTTAAAAGCCACGTTGTCTGTGTTAAATGTTATTTTAAAAGGGTTACATCTGATCAAGTGTATTCGCTTATTTAACGCATCAAAGGATTATTCTACTCCATTTGTGTTGCTTGCATGGGAAAATGTAGTTGTGAGTCGCTGCTCGATGGATTTGCGCTGTAAAATATGTATATGTGTATGTAAAGCTGACATTGATATTATCAATCAAGTAGTTTGTTTAAAATACCTGTTTGGTCTGTTTGGGTTTGGTCTGTTTGGTCTATTCACCTGCTGTCAAATGCAAACGCCAAGCCAGGCAGCAGGACAAAGCCACGCAGCAGGACATAGCGTGTTCTACGCTGCCGCTGTCCAAGGTCCTGAAGCCGCACCCGCAGCTACTGTACTGGCTGACTGGCTGTTCCTGCGCCAAATTGGCTCCATATGCTCATCGATTAATTATGATTCAGTGGGTGACTTACATCTGCAAACTATCATTTTCTCTGGGGAATGACATCTCACAAATCTACAAATTATTTCTAGCGGAATCTTTTTGAATGTACTAGTGTATTCAACTTTTATGAGGTCTACCAGCGGGTGCGTACACACACACACACACACACACACACACACACACACACACACACACACACACACACACACACATTAAATAAAGTATTCATTATTTATAGGCCTACAGTGCACTGACCTGGATCGTTTGGCGATTATACACTTTCACCACGTGGAAATTAAAACTGTAAATCCCTTTGCGCGGGGCGATGAAATTGCTCCTTTCTTCGTCGAAATTCTTACCAATGTTTACAAGTATCTGGGGAAGAGAGAAAGAGTGTGAAGAGGGAAAAGTCACACTAACATCGAAGACACTCGTCGTTGTCATAGTATAAATGCTTTTTAATGTCTTTGCATCACAAAGTTAAAAGGAAATCACGCAATGCACCCTGATATATTGTAGGTCAGATGGCATTTGACTATAACTTTGTTAGTTTCAAATTAAAACTATTACAAATACCAAGTTAATACATTTTGGAATGCATCCATCGACGAAGTTCTGGGGCTCAAATGTCTAATTTTATGAGACCAAAATCCTGCCAAGCAGAACAATTTAATTTAATTGAATAGCCATTTGTTGGCTATTAACCTTTTGAGATATGGAGTAGCATGGAGTATGACTTCACCCTCTTGACATGGTATTACATTATTTGGAGAGATGTCAGACTTCATTTCATATCATCAAAAGGAACTTAAATATTCAAAGGCTGACTACTTTCACCTGTCTTTATCTATAAATCTAATCTCTATATTAAACCGCGAGCCTCCATTCTCTAACTCACGAATAGAATAGCCAGTGAGCTTTTTAAATACATTTTCAACAGTCATCCAAACCCCCTCCCGACACACTCTCGCTCACTCGCTCCCCATTACCAAGGTAGCCATACAGTGTGATATTGCAGACAGACAAGTCAGTGAAAGTTACCTGGTCAAAGTAGATTACCATAGTCCGGTTACTCATCTCCGAGGGCTCGTGGTTGGTGTTTCTCACCGCGGAAAAAGCCACTTTGGCGCTCCCGGAGCGCACCGATATCCCGAGCGCGGTCCCGGTGGGATCCGAAGTTGGGTTGGAATCGCAAACGACCAGACATTTACCCTCGAGTACGATGGGTTCCGTCTCGTTCTGAGAGTTCACTAGAGTCACTAGCCACACTGCACCCAGTAGGAGCGTCAACATTACGGCAACTTCACTCTGCACTTCGTTGCTGTATCCCGCACAAAGAAAGGGAGAATTTTCTGATTTCACGGATAGATAATATACTACTTCTTCTCTTCCGCAAAATTCAGCCTATTCAAATGACCAACTCCTTTTCGTTTCTTGAATTAAACCTCCTCTTGTGTGTTTCTCTAAGTCTTGAAAAAAGGTCAAAGACAGGTTTGGTTTTCCCGTTTATTTTTTTATTTTTTTTAATGAAGAGTCCCCCTTTACCCAGTCGTTCCCACTGTTAACTTATTTCCCCCCCTTTCGGCTCAAGCCTCCCCGCACCTTCTTGTCACTCCGTAATCGAATAACCAGTCGAGAGCGGTATGAGGCCCTTGTCGAGTTGAAGCGCAGTTGAATACATAGCGCGGGGTCTTCTTCTTGGGCGCTGAATTATTGATATGTGAGATATTAGAGCTGAAAAACAAAGGCTCGGACGCGCAATGCTCCCACCCGCTCGTTTTCACAGACTCCTCCCTCCGGGCCCCAATCACAGACTAGCGTATCTCCAGATTTCCTATCGCTGCGCTCGAGCCTGCCTCCCCACCATGTGACGGTGGTGGAGTAGTTTTTCCGCTCCGGAGGTGTTTTACAGGTGGACTTGGCTAGAGCAGAGCAGACACCGGAGGGGATGACACCGGAGGGAATGACACCCGAATGTTTGAGAGGAGAACCTACACGGACCACCAATTCTCATATCATCATTACTCTGATTTTGCACGCTATGATGAATTGCCAATGAAGCAGAAATAATAACAGGACGAAAATCTATCATCTGGATTCAAAGAAAAACTGCAGAGGCGCAATGCAAGTTTCTTACCCTCACGTGAAAGCCTAATGAAGCCAAAAGTCAATTATTTTGGGGGGGATATCGATCATGCGTGAAGAGAGATAAGAGAGGACGTTCTGAAATACTATATTGATCAAGAAATTGTAAGATAATGAGAACGATTGAGAGAGACAATATAAAAGATAAACAAAGCTATAGATAAAACTCATGGGGACAATACACTATTTTCTATTTTTCTCTACCTCTGCTGGGGGTACCCCGCACAAGCGGTAAGCCAAAGTTAAACCATGTTGACGATAACTGAATTGGGAAAAAGGACTTCTGGAAAGTGGCTTATTATATTGTTTCACATGAGTCTTCGCCTGCAGTTTAAACATGATGACAGAATCAGCCTGGCGTCTTTCTGTTCGGTGTATGTAATGTTATGAAGGCTGTCATTGCCTGCGGAGGGCCCTGTCCAAGTCGCATCTGACAAGGCTCGCTCACTCTGCGCCAGCGCAATGACTACATGGCATTTAATAAATTAGATCACTGAGTTCCTTTTAGGTGGAGAGACAAACAAAACCACATGCAGAGAAAAGGAGAGAAATAACAACAACTATAACATTCCTTTACTACATAAGTAAAGCGACTGATATAACATGATGAGATCAAACACAATCTTAATGAAAGTGTATATAGTGTTCTGAGACTAAATCGTCCTGTATTGAACATTGAGGAATGACTGAAAGTCGAATGGCGCTCTCCAAGGTAGCAGTGAATACATTTAAGCACCAACAATAAGGACAGCTCCTGCCATTACAAGCAAAGGAAAACATTGTGCAAATCAGCCTACAATGCAATAAGTATCACTTAGATGAGATGTGAGACAAGATTCTGTTGTCACATGACTCCGCTTCAGTATAAGCACAAGTGGGAGTTTCAAAACCTCCAGCAGTTGTTCTATTCAGCCCAACAAGCAAGCGCGCACGCACACGCACACACACACACACACACACACACACACACACACACACACACACACACACACACACACACACACACACACACACACACACAGTGAGACAGTGAGGTAGAAGGTGAACAGTGAGTCCCAGGTTAGCGGAGCATCGGGATGGGAGGATGACGCCTAGTGACAGGCTCCCCTGGAGGGCCCTCCTTTCACACGCCACAAGTTGCCGCTTGCATTGCATCACACAGCCGCCGCCTGAGGTGCTCTCTTTCCCCGCATCACAGAGCAGGACTGGTATAAATAAACACATATGTTGCTCTGTGAGTGTGCTTGAGAGAGAGAGAGAGAGAGAGAGAGAGAGAGAGTGTGTGTGTGTGTGTGTGTGCATGTGCCACCAAGGTGTATGGCGTCAAATCAGCCTCCAAAGTCCATTGCGTGCGAGATGGCGCTGTCAAGCAAGATGAAACATCATTGAGCAAGCAAACACTGAGTCAAGAGCGCAGAGGATGGGTCCCACGAACAGAGGATGAGTGCCACGAGCGCACAGACCAGTCAAGAGCGCAGAATGTGGTCGAGCAAGCAGAGTATCGGTCCTGCAAGCACACAGGCAGCGGGGGCGTGAAAATTAAACTAGAGTTGCAAGTGTGACTTTGAACAAGCAAAACATCATTGCCACACGCAAAATATTAATTCGAAAGCAGAGATTTTTGTTTTGTTTTGCAGAGATACTTACTACATGTCAAGACTCAGAAGTTACTGCGCTCTCACAAATACACTGCATCCCCATATGGATTTCTCCTCTCACACCAAAAAATCTTTCTCTGGCAACTCCAATCTTTTACTATCATTTTATTACAGGTGAAAATTCTAGCCAATGAACATGGTCGTCAGTAGTTAACACAGCCACAAAGTCATAATTATTATGGCTAATCCCCGCCTATTTATACAATGTATCTTCTTAAACTCTGATTATAAACCTAACCCTAACCTTAACCACACTGCTAACTGTATGCCTAACCCTAACATTAAATTAAGACCAACAAGCACATGTTTGTTTTCATGACTTTTTATGATACAGACAATTTTGACTTTGTGGCTGTGTTATCTACCGGATGTTGACAGTGAAATGCAAGGTGATAGTGGTGAAGTAGGGATGATGGCCAACGATAAAAAGGTAAGCTCAATAGTTTTTCAGTAAAGAACCTAACTAACTAACTAATCAACTAACCTAGCTTGCCTAATAAAAAGCAGGCTATTGATTAGGCAAGCTAGGTTAGGTCAGCTAGCAGCTAGCTAGGAAGCAACTATCTAGCTAGCTAGTTATCTAGCTAATGTTTAACCACATATCAAAGTTAACAGTACCTTTGGTTTAACCAAGAGCATTGTAGCTAGCTGTCTAAGTCAATAAGGGGTTAGTAGAGGAGGAGGACTTGGAAGACCAGCATGACTGGGAGGGAGTGGCAGAGGAGGGAGAGGCAGGATGAGAACAGACAGGGAAGACCCTCACTGGGGAAGAGGCCCTTGATTGAGATGGGGTGAGAGGGAGCCAAGAGAGATCAAACTCCGAACTAAACAGCCAACATTGTAAAGTTCTAATTGCATACTTTGAGATACAGTCTATTTGAAATACACATTTGATTACTTTTACTCTGGCATTTGTTTTTGCAGTACAATGTACGAGAATGACCTCTAACCATCTTCTCTCTCTCCATGCAGGCCCACTTTTAGTATGTGGTGGGGAAGTTGTCCTTTGCTTATCTGACAGAGATAGGAGATACAGGAGTCCACTCTGTTCCAAGTTCCTTGGCTCTCCTCTATGCACAGCACTCTGGGAAATTCCTGCAGGTAACCATGACTTCTATCAATCACCCCCCTAACTTAATCATTAGTGGTACTGAGAGTTCCTCTAAATGCTTTGACGCTGTATGGAGGCATTGTTATTAGGACATTTGTCACGCAGAGAGGATGACATGTTATTGACTTTGTCCAACTGCTGTTTATTTAGTTAGAAAGATGGTTCTATACTGAATGTGTAGAAGTAGGTTAGGTAAGGGATGAAGTGAAAACCTATAGGAGGATAGCTCTCTACGACAAGGGTTGGGCATTAAATGACAGCAAGCTGTTAAATACTGAGCCATACTGACTGATGAGTGACGTGGATTGGTACAGCTCGCCTCAATCTGACATAGTATGTTATCACTTCTTTGGCTAAATGATTATCCATAGTTGCCTCTTTTGAGACAGCTGCAGTCTTTAAATGGACTGTTACCTTGAATGCAACACTAACATCTTAAAACTTGTCATCTCCAATTGAACTTTGTTTATGACATTTCCTGACATCTATTTTTTACTGTCTCTCACTGCAGTTGTTTTCCCAGGAGACAGATCAGGGTGTGTGTAGAAAACGTATGTCTGACAAGGTGGAGTCAGGCTTCTAGTTCATCAACCTGGACCACTACACCTACGAGGCAGAGGACGACAAAATCTAGACCTGTGAGTCACCTTTGACCTTGACATAACTTTCTTCTAATGCTTTTGGGGTCATGGGTGTTCCCTAACTCATCTTGTGCCTTACACAACTCAGCACATATGTTTCCCTCCACCTTCTTCAGTGAAGTCCTGACCAGGGGTATCAAACTCCAATGTCTATGTACCTGTTGTGTTGGCGTAGTTACGGGACCAGTGGGTGGAGGTGTTGATGACAGTGATGCATCCGAGTGTGATCTCAACAAACAGCCGCTGTGCCAACACCATGCCTGATAATGACAACCAAATGATATCTTCCACACTGGATCACGGTAAACACACACTCAGTTTCTCTCTCTGTGTATGTCTGTTGTGCGTGAGAGAGTGAGTAATGGGTCTGTATATGCAAGTGTGTGTAGTGTAGGATATACGTTTTGTGTATATGAGTCTACTCTGAGTCTGTAGACACCATGTAATAATGCCTGTTTTTTGTTTGCACACCGTTTTCTTGTGTGTGATTTAGTGTAGTGTTTTGTCACATCCATTTCTCTCTTGTCTGCTCAGATATCCCCAGACCAGTGTTAAGGCAGGAATGGACTACACTGTTTGTCTGAGCTTTCCCCTCTACTCTGCACTTAGTGATTTCCAGTCCTCATACACACATCAACTTGGTTAGTTCCCACTAGGGCTGCATGATATGGGAAAAAAATGTAAGATGTAATTTTTGTACAAACTATTGCGATTGCGATTTTACTTGTGATTATAGAT